TTTTTTAATAACACATTTGTTTAGAAAACATATAATTCGAGTCAATTTAAAAGTTTGCTTTTAAGTGGTTCCATAGTATAAATATTTATAATTTTTATAGTGTTCAAATATTATTAATATTATAAACTTTTTATGGAATTAAATATTATAGATACTTTAAATATTATTAATTTATACTTCTTATAAGGTTAAAATATTTATAATATTTGAAACCTTATAAATAATAATAATCTAAAGCAACATATTATTCTTTAGACATAAATAATCTTTATATATTTGGTAATAATTTTTTGGGGGTTAATCTAATTTATAAATAAACATTATTTATTGCCAAAATGAGTTTGGTTTAAAATAAGTAATATAGCCAAATGAGTTTGTCAAATAACGAATAGTAACCATAATTTAACTAATCTACATTAAAATAAATATATTTAGAAAATGATTTACTCAAAAAATTGATAAATATAGATTAATCTATAAAGGTTATTTTATCACATGATTTTTTCATTTGATGGTAAACCACTAAATATTTTTTAGTAAACAAACCAAAGAAAATTTTCAAATCAATACTAAGAGCATCTCCAAATCAATATTAAGAAGCTACAACGGATTATGGTTAACCCTGCAAATATTTTCACACTCAAACATGAACCAATATACCAAAACAATAAAAATCAGAATCATTTCCTCATTTGTCCAAACACAAAAACATGTAGATTAAGGTAACGTAGAAGGACCAGTTTCCGAATACACTGGGAAGCTCCTCAATTCAACGTGAGGCTATCAAACATAAAGCCATAGAAAGATGAAAGTGAGTGATTTATCAAAAAAAAAAAAGAGATGTAAGTGATTCAAATCAAAGAAGAATAGGAAGAACCTTAGTCCAAGACATGTAGAAAATTAGGTCTGAATCTATTAGAAAGAGGGAAATGAGTAGACTGTGGCGCTTAAGTGAAATTTTTGGCCAAAGTATTAGCGGAATAAATGATTTTACATTTCCATTTGCTAATTTGGTATCTTAACGTTGTTTCAATGCTATAATATAGTAATCAAATAATTTTTTTAGTTTTTATAGCAGTTGCGGAAAATGAGCTATGCTCACGTGCTATCAATGTGGATATTTCTTGTAGTGTTCTGTAATTGTTTTAGGAAATTATTTATTTTGCAATACATTTGTCGTTAGAAAGTTTTTAAAATAAAAGGAAATTATTGTTTTTATTTATTATTGCAATTAATGATGGATCTTTAATTATGAGAAATCATACCAAATATATTTGAAGATTACAGTAAATCACGGAATAGTTATTATCGAGATTTTTAAAGTAATTAGTTGGAGGAGATTTGAGGAACGATCTTTAGAATAATATCTTTAATTAATTTTTTCAAATCTTAAGAATTAACTCCAATGGCATTGTTTGTAAATACATTCCAACTCCAGGATTTATTTGCTAAAAGTCATCCAAAAATGTATATATAGATTATTGAGTCAACATGTGCCGGAGTAGAGATAATGTTTTAAATTCATTTACTAATTTTTGGTTTAATTCCTTTTTATTTTAACATCAAAATCTCCAAATATTTGATTTACCTTGGCTACTAGGTATTATGATGTTTAACTTCTTAAACAAAACTAAATTTAGACAATATTTTTAACATTAGTTTTTTTTACGTAGAAAATCACATTATTTAACTTTGCTTTAGACTACCAAAATCCAGTGTTCAAGAAAGCGCTAGGCGCTAAGCGGGCGGTGACCCAGTGCCTAGCGCCTAGAACGCCTAATCGGGGCCTAGACGATTTTTTAGGCGGTTTAGACGTTTATAACATAAAACATTATAAATATGATATTATATATAAAGGTTATATAAAATATCTATATAAAACTAAAAATTATAAAATTATAAACAAAAACTAGATAAAACATTTATTTATATTTATATTAAACAATATAAGAATATTTATAACTATATATATAAATAAAACTCTAATTGAAATTTTAAAAAAATATTAAACAAGATGTATGTAGTTTTAGGCGGTCAAAGCGGTTATCTAGGCGTCGCATGAGAGCCTAGCGCCTAGTCGGGGCCTAGGCGACCGCCTAGACCGCTTTTTAGAACATTGCCAAAATCCAAGGACGGGCTATGTATGGTTGTAGTTTCCTTCTTTGAAAAAAAAATTGAAGACAATAACCCAATACATGTGCATTTTTCATTAGAATCAAGGAGCATCAACTTCTCATATCCTTATATCTTTCCAGCACAAAGTTGTATCTTTCTTCACCAAGACAAAGTCTTACATAATAACGGCTGACGAAGTTTTGTATAGTAACGGCTGACAGAGGTTGATCTATTTTTTTCTTTCTCTTTCTATAACAAGGACATAATCGATATGTTCAACAAATCAGTTTAGAAAAGAACAAGTTAAATACCAAAGGATTAACAAAGAGTTTGGATTAAAATTAAAATCAATATCGGTATCAAATTGAACTACATAAACCTCCGAAGTAAATACCTAAATCTTATTTTATGCATTGATTTTAAATTTCTTCATCTGTTTGCTGATGTCCTAGTGTTGATGTTAAAATAAATGGGGTTATTACTGATTTAGGGCTTTATTGGCCCAAAACTTAAGAAAAAGGAACAAGTATCGGGACTTATAGTTTTAGGTATTTGTGGGTTTGGTGTTATGATTGTTTTGTCCCTATCATCTGTAACTCTTCTTCCTTGTTTCCTCCATCTCCATCGTGGGCAGTTCTCCGACCACCACCTTCTTTTTTCCGACCATAACCTTTACTTCTCATTGTCATGCTTCATTAACGCTATCTCCGTCACCTCCATCAACTTCATCACTTTCAACGCCATCAACACCATCTCTTTCATCTCCGATGCAAAAAACGTTTTCGTCACCAACACCGATCTCCTCCGATGAACTCATTCAATTGATTTCGTTTTGAATAAAAGAAGCTAAACCCTAAGGGGGTCGTGTGGCTAGTAAACCCAAGGGCTCCAATCATAGAAATTGATTGAATCAAATTTTCTAATTTATTATCAAATCTAAACAAAAATTGAAAATCAAATTTATAGATATATGAAAGAGATGGGTTTGAAGCTTTAATCTCTTGATCTTAACTTTTTCATTCCCCTGCGCTTAAATCCACTTCGTCACCGTATCTTCATCTTCAACAATATCTCTCACATCTCTCTTTCACAGACATGAAAGTTTTTAGCAGCTCTGTGTAAGGGTAAAGGAGACATTTCACCTAGGTTGGAAATGCCTAAAATGAAAGGTTTGGCAGATATACCGGATGTCGTAAGTTTGGCTGAGAAAAAGCCCATTCCCGTAATTTATTCTAAAATAAATTCAAAGAGAGAGAAAATAATGCAATATCCAGTAGCTGATGAGGACTTTTCATCACTATAAAAGTCGAGGATGAATAATTTTTCAATTCATTATATATAGTTAACTAAATTCAAAGAGAGAGAGAGAATAATGCAATATCCAGTAGCTGCAATGAGGACTTTTCATCACTATACCCCCAAAAAGTCGAGGATGAATAATTTTTCAATTCATTATATATAGTTAACTAAATACCGAGCATGTTCTCAAACTAACACTTGAATTACTATAATTTCTAACTGATGTGAACCGAACATGTTAATTTTATCGAGTGTTTGTAGTTCTATTTATGTACTAGGGATCTTTCAAAACGAATTTAACTCAAGATTTAACTTAAGATTACTCGTTAAAATATCCATGATAGGAAGATGATTGAATTAAAATGATCTCTTCTCTTACTCAAGAAAATTTTGGGCCGAAAACTCGAAATATTTTGGTAAAATCATGAAGAGGTTAAATTAATCCCCGGTTTTATTTTGTGTAATTATAGTATGATGGTTTTCAAATGACAAATTATAGATAAGTCGTTGCTTTTTTTTGAAATATAAGTTTCAACTGAATTTGTTGATCAATATGTGTATGCGATCGGTCCATCCCAATCTTCCACAAACGATCTTATATACTTTGGTCTAAAAATAGTTCAAAACATTTCTAAGGCATGATCTTTGGACCGTGATAAGAACTGGACCGATTTGGTCGACATGCATTAGGTCGGCCAAACCATTTTTTTTAATAGAAACACCACAAGTTTTAGATAAACCAAACTGAATGAAACTAAACAGATTCGAATATTTAAAAACCAAGCTGGGTAAGTCTATTAAAGTTTTGATGGAAAATGTATTAAAGATTTTTGATAAAAAAAAAAAAAAAAAGAAGCCATAATGGTAAGAGAAGATGGTGTCACCTAACTACCCAGCCTCACCTACCTCATAAACCACATGAAGAAATAGAGTTACCCATTGACACACTCCTGCCTCAACTCCAACTTTTTTTTATAACTGAAAATTTTGGTTTGACAATTTGTATATGTAATTGATCCGATTGTGTAAAAATTGGAGATTGATTTACTTTGACATAAGAGATATAATATCATTTTTGTTAAATCTTATATATATATATATATATATATATATATATATATATATATATATATAAATTTATGAGTGTAACATCTCAAACCGAAAATTTGTGTTTGAAACAAATTCAATTGTTTTGACTGATTTATAGAAACCACAAAATAAATTTTACAAAAACGCAAGCTTTGTGAGTGTGACTTCAGTTTTGAAAATGAGAAATTGGCTAAAATACTATATTTTATGTTTTTAAGATATTCAAAAATACTAAACTGAAAGTTAAAAAAAAAAGCTGATTTGCTTTAGAATGTGACAACAATTTAAGAAGTGAATCTAATTCTCTTCTTTCACTTCTTTGACTACATCCAAACAAAGAACAAAATTCCCAAATATATTTTTTTCTTCTTTTTTCCAAGTGGGCATTTGTGAGGTTGTGAGGCCCAACCAAAAGAGCCTCTCACTACATTCCACAAGAACCACACAAATTCAAAAGTCTCACTCTAACACAAAGAAGCATCCAAACGCAATCCTCTCACCTCCACCTCACATTCCCCTGTGCCACCATCACTTACCCTTTTCTCGTCTCTCCTGAAATCAAAATCCATTATGCAAATCCATTTTCATCAATATCATCACCATCTTCATTCTCATCATCCATGGCCCATTTCTCATCTATGTAGATTCTCATCTCTCTACCTTCTTCTCATTTTCTCCTCTTGATTCCCTCATTTTTCTTCTCCTTTTCAGACATGACTCTTCCTTATCGTTTCTCTTCGGTTAGAAACCACTCGCTACTACTTAAGACTTCTCATCTCTACACACCAAGATCAGCTCTTGGTTGTTTCTCTCCCAAGGAATCTCCTTTCTTCAAGAAGAACACTGCCCAATTCCTTTCTCCTCAGAAACACACTTCTCTTCCTCTGAAACTTGTCTGCCCTTTAGCTAGTTTCTCTTCTTATGCGGATTCTGAGGAAGAAGAGCAACACCATGCTGATCAACCGATACAGAATTCTCACGAATCTTCAACCGTTTCGAGTGGATCAGATGGGAAAGGTAATGCAGAAGCTACTGGCGACTTTTCTGGAATGGCTCAAGCCTTTCACATTTCGTCCACCACAGCGAGGGCAATCTCCATAGTCATCGCCTTCTCTGCTCTCACCCTTCCAATCTTCATGAAGTCCCTGGGACAAGGACTGGCTCTCAAGACCAAGCTTCTCTCTTACGCCACACTACTCTTTGGTTTCTACATGGCCTGGAACATCGGAGCTAATGATGTCGCCAATGCTATGGGGACTTCTGTTGGATCTGGAGCACTAACTATAAGACAAGCTGTGATGACGGCTGCAGTTCTTGAATTCTCAGGTGCCCTTTTGATGGGAACTCACGTGACGAGCACGATGCAGAAAGGGATTCTCATGGCTAATGTGTTCCAAGGGAAAGATATGTTGCTCTTTGCTGGTCTCCTCTCTTCCTTGGCTGCAGCTGGAACTTGGTTACAGGTTCCAACTTATCTTTTGCTTCTTCATCACTAGCTTCAAGACAGGATTTTAGTAAAGTTATTACCTTTTTAGGTTCACAAATGATACAAGTAGAGAACCTAATTGTGAAATTGTGAATATAACAGGTGGCTTCTTACTATGGATGGCCAGTATCGACCACTCACTGTATCGTCGGATCAATGGTTGGGTTTGGGCTTGTTTACGGAGGAGCTGGTGCTGTTTTTTGGAGTTCTCTAGCTAAAGTAGCTTCATCTTGGGTTATCTCTCCTCTATTGGGAGCTCTTGTCTCCTTTCTTGTCTACAAATGCATTAGGAGAGTAAGTAAACAAAACCAAACCAAACCAAGGAACTAAATTTCAATTTATGACACTACAATTCATGATGCTCAAGCTACCTTATGCAACTTTTGCACACTCTTCTCTTGTTCTGTGCAGTTTGTTTACAGTGCACCAAACCCGGGACAAGCAGCAGCTGCGGCTGCTCCGGTCGCTGTGTTCGTAGGTGTGGCCAGTATCTCCTCAGCCGCATTGCCTCTAAGTAAGATCTTTCCAATAGCTCTATCACAAGCCTTAGCCTGTGGAGTAGCAGGAGCCATTGTCTTCGACAGAATCATCCGCAAACAGCTCGGTCACCTTCTAGCTAAAACCAAATCACCAGAAACATCTCAAAACCAGCCCAAAACCATTGGTTTCCTCTCCGATATCGCAGGACCAACAGGTACACAACTCGAAATAGTCTACGGAATCTTTGGCTATATGCAAGTCCTCTCCGCTTGCTTCATGTCATTCGCTCACGGAGGCAACGATGTATCCAACGCAATCGGACCATTAGCCGCCGCATTAAGCATCCTCCAAAACGGAGCAGCTGCAGGAGGAGCCGAAATCGTTATCCCCATGGATGTTCTCGCTTGGGGAGGATTCGGAATCGTTGCTGGTCTCACAATGTGGGGATACAGAGTCATTGCAACGATAGGGAAGAAAATCACTGAGCTAACACCAACAAGAGGATTCGCGGCGGAATTCGCCGCCGCGTCGGTGGTTTTGTTTGCTTCGAAATTAGGGCTTCCGATTTCTGCGACTCATACACTTGTTGGAGCTGTGATGGGTGTTGGTTTCGCTAGAGGGCTTAATAGTGTCAGAGCTGAGACTGTGAGAGAAATTGTTGCTTCGTGGCTCGTCACCATTCCCGTCGGAGCTACACTCTCCGTCATCTACACTTGGATTTTCACCAAGATCTTATCTTTTGTGTTGTGAGTTTCGTTTTTTTTGGTTTTGTGATACGAAGAACATGAAATTGATCTTCTTCTATGTTCGTTTGAATGATTCGAATTTGAAAAAACCATAAAGTTATGATCTTTGGATTCAAATCTGAGTTTTTCACCCATCGGTGAAGCTATGATCAAAGCTTGAAGCTTTCTTTCTTGTTCAATGTTACCAAGAGAAAGATTCCAAACCAGCATACGCAAAGCAAAGAGCGGAAAGGTGCTTTGTACCTCATTTCGTTAATTCGAATTAGAGTGGATGTTGTTTTTTTTCCTTTAAAAACGTCTTGTTGTTTGTTTCTTAAACGTAAAAACGTCATAACTTTTTAAACGACATCGTTTTGTTTTCGAGTAAACGTGAGACGCGCGCATCTCTTGCTTTTCGTACACGCGTCTCAAACAAAGACTGACATGATTATCTTGTCTAATGACGAAACTACCCTTGCACGACATCCACATTAGCGATAAAATCGGAGGGTATTTGAGTCAAATAAAGAAATAGAAATATCTCTCTTGCTTCTCTGGTTCTACTTGTTCCTCTGTTTGGATTGTGGTGGTGGTGGTTCTCATGGCGGCGGTTATTGGTAACGTGGCGTTGTTACTAGACGTTAACTCTCACCGTACGGTGGTAACTGATCGGAGAATTCGTTTAACGGTGGTTGACGTCGTTCTGAATTTACCAAAGAGAGATTCGCACAGTCACGTTTCTCACTACGCTGCTCTTTCCTCCAATAAGCCTCTTGAATCAGACGGAGAGGCTCGGATTCGCCGGTTTTTAACTCGAGGTAAGGCGAATTCCAGGGCTAACGCCGTCGATTTCGACGATGCGGGATCCAGCGACGAGGAAAGCAGTGACGGAGGCGGTGGTGGTGGTGACGAGGAGGAGGAGGAAGACTTTGATGTGGAGAAGGAGAGGAAGAGGAGAGCTAAGGAATTTCAGGATATGAAGGAGCTTGAGAGGAAAGCAGAGGAGTTGCAGTATAAGATTGATGAAGAAGGAGATGATTCAGAGGAGAAGAAGAGGATGAGAGTGAAACGAGAGCTCCAAAAGGTTCGTTTCACATTCGTATTAGTTTAAAGCCTCCTGAATATGAAGTTTTTTGGCCATAGGCTCATAGTAGCAGTCTTAGATTAGTGTAGTTTACCTTAGTGAAGGCCATTTTCAGGATTCGAAGTCGAATTGTTTAAGAAAGTGTAAGTTAGTGGTGAGGTTTTAAGAGTTGATATGCTTATGGAAGAGGTTGGTGAGAGCAGGTAGCTCAGGAGCAAGCAGAGAGGAGAAAAACAGCAGAATTGATGTTTGAATTGGGTCAAAAGGCTTATGGTAAAGGAATGTACGGACGCGCGATCGAGTTTTTAGAAGGAGCTCTTACGATTATCCCAAGGCCAACGCTCTTTGGTGGTGAGGTTGGTTGAAAACACCAGAGTTTAGGTACCTTTTTTTTTTGGTTTTTGAAAGAGTTTTGATTGCTAATGTTCTGTGGGGGGGTTGATTTGGCCAGATTCAAATTTGGTTAGCTATGGCATATGAGGCCAATAATCGCCACGCTGATTGCATTGATCTTTATCAGCAATTAGAGAAGAAACATCCGAGTCCTGGTATTCGTCGTCAAGCTTCTGAGCTTCGGTATATCTTGCAAGCTCCTAAGCTTAAGATATCTCAGGAGGAAATGGTTACTATTCCCATGATCGGTTCAAGTTACGACAGGTAACACAAAAAGTTTCCAAATCAGTCACAATTCACTTCTCATGGCTAATGCATATATCGACATAACTTGAAATGGTCTTTGTGGTGTGTTCACAGCTATGCAGTGACATGGAGTGACAAGGACAGGGATAAGGAGCGGCGAATGAATGAATCGACTACGAATCAGCTCAACTCGAGTGAAGACTTTCTTGGAAAGCTCTTGGTATGGCGACCAGCGGTTGGTATGGAGAAGAACCGAGTCTTTTGGCTTGCTTTGACACTATGGTTTGGTTTGGTTGGTGCAGCACTCATCTTACAAAGATAAGTAGAAAGACATGTAAAAAACGTTTTTCATCGCTTTCAATTATGGTTTGGTACTGTTTCTTCTACATGTCGTGAAATTATATTTGATTTCATGTATAAATTTGTAAGCAGATGAATTCGTTGTATATATATATATATATATAGTATTTGATGGAAATATATATATATATATATATATATATTTATGTATTTGATTATGTGTTCTCTTTTTATAGTTAAATTGATCTTTTTTATTTATTTATTTGCGTTTGACAAGTATTATGGATTAAAAAAATTCCTAGTATTAGGCTCCAGTTATATTAATCACGCATATTATTAAGAGCAAAAAAAGGTTTCAATTATTTATTTCTCTATGCGACTCCTCCGCCGGCGATTTCATTGAAATCACTCTGTAAGTTCTTTTCCGAAATATATTCTTTACTTTTCGTCTGATTTTTGTTTTCTGAAATCGATGATTTATAAGAAGTTAGTAATTTTCGTAGTTGCGTTTTCAGAGTTTCAAAATTGCGTTCGAGTTTAATCGAAGACTTTCTTCTTCATCGAATTGTCTTCTTAGGGTTTCTGAATCTCTATAATCATTTTTGTTTTGATCAACTCGATTTCCTGGAAAATTAATCGAAAAGATCAACTTGTTAGGGTTTCAAAACCCAAGTATTCGAGTTAATTTCTTTCTCTCGCTTTTTGTGTTTCATTTACACTTAATTAACGATTTCTGCTTTTTGTTGTTGTTGTTGTTGCAGTTGAAAGTGGTATTTTTGGATCACAGAGAATTTCTCGAGGATACTTCTACAACAACAGTCTCCATAATCTCTTTAGGTACACTCTCTAAATTATGGTTTCCAATCCCAAAAGATGAAGCATACGAAATTGGAATGATAGTACCCACGACTTAAACCATTTTTCGGTTCAAAGGCTTAAAGATATCCCACAGATGTTTCCTAAATAAACACACTTTCATGCTGTGCCTGATTGGAGTTGCTTGTAAAGCCCACGGGCTTAAATTAGAAAGATAGTACATCTCCAACCCTACTCTATCTATACTAGTATAATCGCAGCACTTTTTGTGACGGATGGGTAAAAAAGCTTTCGGGTATATCGGATATCCGACCTATTTTAAAAAAAATTTCACAAAAAATTTGTTGGGTCGGGTTATATTTAACCCAACTCATACACCGGATATTCCATATATAATAATTTAGATTTTTAGAAGATTTGATTAAGATTTATAATTATGATTCTCCTATTATCTTTGTTTGATTTGTTTTTAGGGAGACTCATAAAAATGCCCTTTTTTCAATACCCCTTTTCAAAAATGCCCCCTTTGGATGTCCATTTTTAAAAATACCCATTTTATGTACAAAATGACTAAATTACCCTTCTTTTAATAAAAGATATCATAAATATATAAGGAAATATAACAAAATTAGGTCCACAAAATACAAAATATTTTTTGGCGGGAAAAGTGATCCCCCAATTTTTCCCGCCAAAACACTTGTAAAAATTTGTAAAATCTTTAAAATACCTTGTAAAATTTTCCCGTAAAATTTTTTCCCGCCAAAAAATTTTTTTTGCGGGAAAAGTGATTCCGCAAATTTTTTGGCGTTAAATTTTTGGCGGGAAAAATTTTCCCGCCAAAAATTTACAAGGTATTTTAAAGGTTTTTTACAAGATATTTATAAGGTTTTACAATGTATTTTAAAAGGTTTTACAACGTATTTACAAGGTATTTATAAGATATTATAAGATTTTACAAGCTATTTTATAAGGTTTTTACAAGTTATAAGGTTTTACAAGTTTTTTATAAGGTTTTACAAGTTATAAATACCTTATAAAACCTTATAAGTACCTTGTAAAACCTTTTAAAATACATTGTAAAACCTTACAAAACACTTGTAAATACTCTGTAAAACTTTAAAATACCTTGTAAATTTTTCCCGCCAAAAATTTTCCCGCCAAAAAAATTTCGCAAAAAAAAAATTGCGGAATCACTTTTCCCGCAAAAAAAATTTTTTGGCGGGAAAATTTTTTGGCGGGAAAAATTTTTACGGGAAAATTTTACAAGGTTTTTTAAAGGTTTTTACAAGTGTTTTGGCGGGAAAATTGCGGGATCACTTTTCCCGCCAAAAAATATTTTGTATTTTGTGGACCTAATTTTGTTTCAAATAAGGGTAAAATGGTCATTAAAAATTAAAAGAGGGCAAACTTAAAAATGGACTCTCAAAAGGGGCATTTTTGAAAAGGGGTATTGAAAAAGGGGCATTTTTAACAATTTCTCTTGTTTTTAACTGTTTTGAATCATCATATAATACATAAAGTAAAAAAAAATCAATTTTTTTTTCTGCATTTACTGTGATCGAAATTTTAAAAACGGACATATATTATCTAATTGACGAAAATGTGTGTTCAACGTTCTACATCGATTAAAATATTTAGACAATGATTCAGAATCATATCATAAATAAGAACATTAATAAAATAAATGAGTTTTTTGGCGGGATGGGTTTGGCGGGACGGGTTTTTGAATCAACAATAATAAAAAGGATTAAAATATCATTAATCCGCCGCTTCAATACGGATTTAATCCTTATTTTTTTTAATACAAATCACAGAACGGGTTAAGAAATTATGGAACGGGTTATATTTCGGAAATGATTTATATGGCGGACGAATTTGAATCAATATTTATATACCGCTTTAATACGGGTTAAATCCTCAGTTTATTAATAATTATCTCGTGGACTCGTGGTATACCGTTACTTAATAAAAATTGTAAACTATAATATAAATAAATATGTTATAAGGAGATACACTTTACAAAATATTTTTATACTAACTTTAAAATTAAATCATCCCGCGGTGTACCGCGGGTTAAAATCTAGTTTTAGAGTAAAAATGTGAAATTCTTCTCCAACTCTACTCTATAATTGACTCTAAAATAGAGATTTCTGCAGATTGACTCTATATATAGAGCAACTCTATTCTCAACTCTATTTTTGAGTTCAACTTTTTTATTTATACTTTAGTCCCTCAAATTTAAACTTTTTTATTTAATACATATAATCATTTTATAAACAACAATTACAACACATAACTTTATAAACTTAACAAGCAAACAAGTACTAAATTTAAAATAAACAACATAAGAAAACTAAAACATAAAACTAGTAATTTAATAGTTCGGTAAATTGCTTGTAGATCCGCCAAGATAGTTAAAATATTGTCCAAATGAAGTGGATGGAGGAGGAGTTTTTTTATCTTGATCTTGTTGTTGGACATGTCGTTTTTGTAAAATCCGTGCTTGTTCACTCTCAAAATATGCCCGAACATTTGGGTTTTGAAAGGAATTCAAATCACATTTATTTTGTTTTCTTCCTTTATCTCATTCAAAGCATAATATCCGGTTTCAAGAGTTTCTTGGTAGATTTAAAAAAATCAAAGATAAAGAAGCTCATTTCTCACTACCAAATGCTTTAATTGATCGTATGTAGGAAAAATATTCTAATGGTGTTATTTAAAATAAAATTTGTAATGTTTATTATTGTTATATGATGTAATGTTTTTTTTTTTAATAAATAATTAGTGTTTAATTTAAATAATTTCATATTTTATGGGAATTTTGCAAATCTATAATATATGGGGTCAAATTGTAAATTATATAATTAAAAAGCATTAGTATATAAAATAGAAATAGAATATTTCTAAGAATATTTTTTTTTAGAGTAGAAAATAGAGATATACATTGGAGAGAAACCCTCCTCTAAAATAGAGTAAGATATAGAGCTCTACATTGGAGATGGTCTTAGTCCCTTTTTCGGTTCAAAATCAAAAGTGGGGTATGGAATTTTGCAAAAGCTCCCTAAGAGCATGTGCAGTGGGGAGAACCCCTCTTAGTCTCTCAAATATATTATTTTAATAATTTTTATGTAAAATTTTATTTTATTTAAAATTTAAACTATAAATAAAATTTATAATCAATTATGTTGAGACATGTGTTAAATGAGTCTCTCACAAGGTTTTCAAAGTCTCTCATTTGATTCTCTCTCTTACTTTTTGATTATTTTATATTGTTTTGAGTGTGAAAGATTCATTGAGAGACTCCTACTAAACATGCTTTAAATGTTGTCACACAAGTCGCTGTCCCATCTGAGTTGATATCACAAAACCATCGGCTTAAAGTCGGTTTTCCGGTTTGAAATCAAAAGGGGTATGGGAATAGCAAAATGCTCCCTAAAGCTTATCACACAAGTCGTAATGTGTGAGCTCTATAATTAGAGTTGTCCCATCAGTTTTGGTATCACAAAACCAACGGCTTAAAGTCGGTTTTTCAGTTCGAAATCAAAGGGGGTATGGGGAATAGCAAGATGCTCCCTAAAGCTTAATAGTGCGATAACACAAAGAGGAAATAAGAACAGCAAAAGCCCCCAAATGGGGAATAGCAAAAGCTTACTAACTCGTCTGATTTTTTTGGGAGCTCTTTAACTAGAACAGTCCCATGAGAGTTGCCTTATGGTAACATAAACCAACGGCTTCAACCGGGACACAATTGTCTTGAAACTAGAAAGAAAAAACTCACGGCTTAGACCGTTTTTCGGTTCAAAATCAAAGGGGGTATGGGAATTGCAAAAGACCCAAAAGCTTATCACAAGTCAGAAAGTGTGAGCTCTATCATTAGAGTTGTCCCATCGGAGTTGCCTATTTATATAAAGAACCTGCGGCTTAGAATCGATTTTTCGGTTCGAAAAAACAAAGGGGTTATGGGAATTGCAGAACGCTCCTTAAAGCTTAACAATGTGAGCTTCTGAAGTTAAAACATCCCCATATTAAGTTGCCTAACAATCATAAAGGATTGTCCTGAAATTGGAAAGATAGTACCCACGGCTTAAACACACTGGGGGAAATGGGAATAGAAAAAGCCCCTAACTGTTCAAGTTTCAGAGTTCAAACACACTAACTCGTCTGTTTTTGTGAGCACTTTAATGAGAACAGTCCCATGGAAATTGCCTTATGGTAACATAAACAAGCGGCAAAACGCTTGAATATGAGAACTCTTAGAGAGAATGAAGTGTTCTTATAAAAATACAAACCTGCGGCTTAAAGGTGCTTGGACTATACACTTTATTAACGCAAAGGTAGTCCTTAAGAGAAATGAGAATTGCTAAAGCCTAAA